GCCCTCCCGCCAGCACAAAGCCCGGTGCCCCGGCCTCCATCCCAGGCCTTTGAGCAATGGTGCCCTCGCTCCTGCTGAGCTTTTGAGCCAGTGCAGGGGGAGGCAGTGAGTGCGTGCGCCCGTGGAGGTTCCTGTGGCAAGCTCTAGCCCCTGGCTAGCAAAGCCGTGCACAGCCCGGCCTGTGCCCGGTCATGCTGGGTGCAGGCTGCCGCTTCTGAGGAACCCAGCGATAAACCAGCACATGAGGTGCCTGTAAATGGCAGCAAGAAGGGGAAAAGCCTGGCTTTTAAGAGTACGCCTGCCTTCAAAAGCTGCCTTTTTATCGTTATGCTTGGGTGTTTTGTAGCCTCCTGAGTGGCAGGAGGGCTGCTGCTAAGCTTTGTTTAAGCTTTACGGATGTATTAACAAACAGAGGTGTGTTAGTTAAGGTCTCTCTGAAGCATGCTTCGCTCTGGCTCCCGCACTGAGCAGCGCTGGCTGGACTGACTCGGAGGAGGCAGTGGAGAGCCCATAGTTCAAGTCCGTGGGTTGTGGATACTTTGGGGACAGCAAAAGCCTGAACTTCCCTGTGAAATAGCTGAAATAGGGCAGAATTGATCCGGTGAATCTCACTGCCCTGAAGTCTTTCAGGTGAGCGTATGCACAACATATCAAAAGACCCAGGGTAGAAAGGGAAAGGACTCGGGGCTTGTCATCTATGCTTCATCAGCCAGTAATGTAAAGGGGAGTGTTTTAACTGTGCCATATGACTGGGAGTTCAGTTTATAGTGGTTTTCTGGTCTGTTTCATCCACTTAGGCTTTCCTTAGAGAAACAGACATTTCTGGGCACTCTAACCCAAACATAACCGCCAAAGGGACTCCAGAGGGGAGTGTGTTGGCTGTCCAAGCTTCTCTTCATTGAGCCTGGCAGGGAGAGTTGAAATAATGAATCTTTGGTGACGGTTGTTTGAGATGTGACAGACAAGGAGAGTTGAGGTGGTAGGAGTCTACCTTACAAAAAGAGAGGTAGTAAAAGGGGTGAGTCTGTCAGGGACCTGCTGGTCACAGAATGTGAAGAGGCTGATTTTAGCTGCCACAGAAAATTCTTGCAAAGTGTTTGGGGTCTTGTGGTAGCTTTAAATTATCTTTTTTTTTTTTTTTTTTTTTTTTATAAGTTGTCATGATAGAGCACACTACTTTTGAAAGGAATGTAGAACTACTCTTTGGTGTGTTATAGATGAAAACTTAATCTCTCAGTGGAAAGATACTACTAAAAGATAAAATCCTTCCCCCTTGCAGTGATGAGAAAGGTACTGAGTAGAAGTTAGGGAGGAAGAAAACAAAATCCCTTTAAGCCAGAGGGAGAGAGGGCTGTGTTTCAGGTGTCGGAATGCATGACAGCCAAGATATTGATTTCATAATTTAAACTTTTATTCGGTTCAGTATTACCTTCTGAGCTGTTATGATTGTAAAGAAAACTTTCCAAATGAGTCTTAATATGACATGATGCATGGCTAGCTTTGAAAGGCCTAATCTAGGCAGTCATGCTTGTTTAACTGAAGTCATGATGCTAAATGAATGCAATTTTCTATATGGACACTTATCAGATTAGCTTGCACTTACAAATTGCAGGTGTAATTGATATGACCTGGTTTAAACTGATATAAATGTGTCTCCATAATGTTGTGGTGGTTTAAACTCCTGCCACTTCTGCTTTCATATAGCTCTGTAGTCTTTCAACAGGCAGCCCTATTGACAGTGCTGAGCTGCACAGAACTTTCTTGAGGAGACTCGTCAGGAAAATTAAACTGGGAAGACTGGTCTGTTATGTATCAAAGTAGTGAAAATGGAATGAGCTTAAGAAAGCGACAAGGCTGATCGAAGGTGTGGAAAACTTCTATGCAAGAAACAACTAAGCATGCCAGGTCCTTTTAAGCTTGAAAACACGACTGCAAGGGGACCCAGTACAGGTCTATATCCTCTGCGTGCTATTTGTAACTTTAAACAAAGAATGAACATTCACTATCAATACAAAATTAGGGCTATCAAATGAAAACTAGCAGCCGACAAACTCAGAACAAACAAAAGGGGTTGGTTCTTCCCATAACTTGTGGCTGTGCTATGAAAATCTTTGCCAGAGGATATTGTAACCCTTAAGAATATACCTGTGGCTCAGACAACAACTGGAAAAAAAAAAAGTCAGGGAAGCAAAAAAGCAGGGCTGTTAAATGCTGAGAGAACACCCTGTACTCAGGCAGTACCTGAGTTGCAAAATGTCGAGTGTGTGTTTGGAGAAAGTATTGTTACATGTATTGCTGCTTCTGACAAGGCAGTGGCTGATCAGTGTCTATGCAAAAGCATAGAGACTAGGGAAGAGGCCAACGCAGGCTTTACTCAGCAAAGCTATTCTTGGAGGATTTTTCAGAAAGCTGCGGGTGGTGCTGTGCGGTCACGTCCGTGTGCTGTCCTGCAAAGCCACTGGTCTGAGTGAGGCAAGGTGGGCTGACTAACTGGATAGTGTCTGTAAGGCTGAAGGAGAAGATACAGGTAGGATCCAGCCCTTTCTCCTTTACCAACACAGAGGGTTGATCTGCAGGATTTATCTTAGACTTTGCTGGTGGATCATCCTCTGTTGTGCAGTAGCTTGCCTGGTAAATATTTCCAGGCGCACTGTGGCCACAGCATCTGCAAAATGTTTTGCTAGCATGCAAAATGATTCCAAGAGCGTGGCGAAAATGGAAGTGTGTCCATGAACTGCAAGTTAGCATTTGAGTTTAAACAAAACTTGCCTCTGCTGGGCTGATTTTAATAATCCAGCTGAATTTGTAGATGCAAGAACCACTAATTCTTCTGTGAAAAGAACGGCTCAAGTGTGCTGGCAGGTGACAAGGCATGAGAAGACTGCTTGGGGAAGGTTTTCGGTTTTTTTTCCTTGCCCCCACCTCTTCAGTTGGCTTTGATCTGTTTTATGAGGGTCAGAAGACGAAAACCTCATTACCTAACACTGTTGGATGTCGACGTATGTGTGATATGGCTCTTTGCCAGTGTCTTAATTAGGGAATTCATAAAAGCGGAGGGTGGATGCCAGTTCTTGAAAAGTGCTTTTAGCCTTTCTGCTGGAAAGAAAGCTTTTATTAATTCATTACAAAATGTATTAAAAGGGATCCAGCTCAACTCTGTAAGCAAAGCTGCTTCTTTCTCTCTTCTCTCTTTGTCTCTGCCTTTATGTGAGCCATTTCAGGCTCCCTGCCAAAGATGGTCCCAACAAATGAGATTTGTAATAAGCATGTAAGTCAGTTTGGATTGAAATCCTCTCCAGGTCTCTCTGGTTTAAAAAGGTCTCCAGATTGCGAGCGAGTGTTGCCAGAATTCAACAGAAATGGCTCAATGCCTTGTCATACCTTGTGGGAGAAAGGGAGGCATCTGGTCTTAGATCCCTGTCTGCATCCAAAGCTGCTGGGACTTGACTTTCTGGAGTGGCTCTTGAGGAGCGGAAGGGCAGCTCTGTGTGCCCCGAGCTGCTGCCTGGGCGTGAAGCACCTGTTTCACTTGCCCCTTTTAACTGACACGACTTAAAGATGTTGCTGCGAGTGAAGTCCTGTGTCCCTGTGCTGTGGTTTAACCCCGGCTGGCAGCTCAGCCCCACGCAGCCGCTCGCTCACTCCCCCCACAATGGGATGGGGAGAGAATTGGAAGGGTAAAAGGGAGAAAACTCGTGGGGTGAGATAAAGGCAGTTTCATAGGGAAAGCAAAAGCCGCGCACGCAAGCAAAGCAAAGCAAGGAATTCATTCCCCACTTCCCAGGGGCAGGCAGGGGCTCAGCCATCCCCAGGACAGCAGGGCTCCATCACGCGTAACGGTGACTTGGGAAGACAAACGCCATCACTCCCAACGCCCCCCCTTCCTTCTTCTTCCCCCAGTTTCTATACTGAGCATGACGCCATATGGTATGGAATAGCCCTGGGGCCAGTTGGGGTCAGCTGTCCTGGCCGTGCCCCCTCCCAGCTTCTCGTGCCCCTGGCAGAGCTGAGAGCTGAGAAGCCCTTGGCCAGTCTAAGCACGACCCAGCAACAACCAAACCATTGGTGTGTTATCAACATGCTTCTAGCACTAAATCCCAAACACAGCACCGTACCAGCTGTGAGGAAGAAAATTAACTCTGTCCCAGCTGAAACCAGGACACCCTGTTACAGGCCATGTGAACCTGTGAAATTGTCATATGAACTTTCTGCATGCTGCACTTCAGCTCTATCCCAGAGGATCCTCTTTGTGGAAGGGAGAGCCGGAAGGAACAAGGGGTTCGTCTTTGCAACTGAGAAGCCACTGTGCTGAGATTGCCACTAAAAGTATAAGCTGGTGTGAAGTGCAGCGATGGTCAGCTAAGCGAGCTTGCCTCTTGGTTTTCATGCGGGGTTCTGGTAGGCCTATGTATGTACCCCAGCTCATGTTCTCCTGTATTGGTTAGTAGGAGGGAAAGCTTCCCATCCACAACAAGCTCAGGTGTGCACCTGCTTCTAGGATTGGTTTCCTGGAGAGCTGCTGCAGGGAATTACACCAGGGCTCTACAGGTTTTCTTGTGCTACAGCTTCACAGGCTATGGCCCCCCTGGGAGTTTCCTCAGCAGCCCAGAGAGCAATCAGTAATTCCCAGGCATTACTCTGATTTCTCCCTGTGCTTGTTCTATTTCCCTCTTTCCTTTACCCTACAGTAAAGAGTTACTTGGATGGCTGAGCTGCTGAGAGGCTCCTAGCTTGCAGGAACAGATCCCAAATCCGAAGTGAGGCAATGGCGCCGACATACCAAGGTGGTGCTCTGCTCATAGTTTGGGTTGGTGTCTGAGGCCCCTTGTGTAAATGAGCCACCTCCAGGAGGCAGATAATATTGTCCTAATTTATAAGTAAGGAAGCTGAGGCTCAGTGCATGGGTAACATCTGGGAATCCTCACTCTTGTCCTTCCTTACAACCCCTAACGCCCCAGATTAGCCTGAAGAAAAGAAATGGTGAGATTCTGGAGGAAAGATATTCTGTTCATTCAGCGATCTGTTCCTCCTTCCTTGTGTTTTTTGATTATTTTCTGTCCCTTGTGCCCCCAGCTCAGCAAAGCTGATGGTGCAGTTCTAGGGCATGCAGTTTATTAGCAAATTATTGCTCTCCAGCAGGGGACCCAAACTTTGGTTTTGATTTAAGAGCAGTAAAGCCAGTTGAAACTTTTAAAGTATTACGTGGAAGCTGGAGAATTTTAGTCAGCAGAAAATAAAAGCATTGGCAAAGTTGGGCAGAATATCCTCTTATTATGTCTCATGAAATGACGGAGGTATGGGCAGAGAATGAGTGAGAGCAACTGCAAACTGAGCAGGAGGAGCAGTTCTGGAGGAGAGGATAGGAAGTGCAAAGACATGGATCATTTAGTGGTGGGGTTGGCAGCTGGCTAACCAAAGCTCTCATTAAATTGTATTATTTGATAGGATTTTTAAATGTGTTTCCAGAGCATGGTGCATTGTAATAAGCTTACTGGCTAAGGTGGAGCCAGGTAACACAAGCTTTAGCTCTTGCCTCTTAGTACCTCTTGCCATGTGTGTAGGTGAGGTTTCCAACAGATAAGGGAGCAGAGACAGAGTCATTTGCAAATGGTAGGAACTGCTGAGGGACACGGCCATTCTTAAATTGGACTGGACAGACACCCCACCTCCACTCCGCTGCACTCCGACATTAAATTAACTTGCTGATAAGCGTGGTCAGAGCTGACTTGGGTGAAGCCCTTGGTTGGCCCTGAAGCAGATGGGGCAGTGCGTCTTGCTGACTGAGCTGTAGTGGATGACAGCTAGCGATGAGCAGCTGGAGTTATCATTCTTAACTGGCACAGTTGGGTATGGAGGAGGACAACTACCTTTGCCCTGACCGAATGCATTTTCAGCTAACACGCTTCAAAAGCATCCGTGTCCCCATCCAGGCAAACCCAAGCATCGCCAAACACAGAAGTGCCATTCCCTGTGCTCTGGGATCAGATCTGCCCTTGGTGTTCCCCTTGGCCTCAGGGGAAGCTGTGCAGGTTCCTCTGGGAAGCTTGGCATCTCAGCAGCCCTGGCAGAGTTGCCTGATGACAGGGGACTTTGAAATTGCTATCTGGTAAGATGCAAAGATTTATTTGAGCCTTGTTATATGTGCCCCCCTCCCCAGCTCTGCTGTGCTCCTTGCAGTGAGACTGTTCAGCTGACTGGCTAAACTTCTTTTCGCAGCCTACTTTGTTCTCCCCTTTACGTCAAGCCTCTTCTCCCATCCTGCTTATTTATAACGCTTGCCTGCCTTTCCTGAGCAGAAGGTGTGAGACTGCTAATGAGCTCAGGACGGAGCTGATCCCCAACGCAGCAATAGCTAGGGATCACTACCTTTGATTTTGTTTCCCATATCACTGTTTATGGGAGTGTTTGTGCTCTGAGCCACCTCTGAGGCTGATGTCCAGGCAGCTGGTGTCTCATTCCGCCTCAGTACTTCTACCTGGGACCTTACTGCTGCTTAGCTTCTGGTTTGCAAAGGCTCCCACGGCAGAGAGGCCATGCCGCCAGCCATCTAGCCAGCCTTGGGCACCCAAGCCTTTTTTCTTTCAGGCTAGGATGTTGTGTTCATATTACCTGGTTAGTTCCAGTGTTCCCCTGCTGCAAGCAAGCCTGAAAGACACATTTTTCCTAAAGATGTTTACACTGTGGTTGCCAGGCAGAAAAGAGGAATGATTCCCAGGAGAACTCCTGTGGGTGGTAGGATGCCCTCCTGGGCAATCCATTTGCACACAAGGAGATCAACCCTCTTGTACTTCTCCACAATTACTCCCCTCCACAGGAATACACAGGGGGAGGGTGGCTGTTAGGAAACCTGGCAAGGAGATACAAGGAGATGACCAATGTTTTTCTGCGTGGGAATGTGTTGCTGCCAAAAGTTGGTGCATGTTGAAGGTGTGGAGGTGGTGGTGAATGCTCTCTTGAGCATACTGTGCAGACTGCTGTTGTAGATTTAGTTGGGTAAAAGAGACAGTAGGTATCAGCGTTTCCCCTTTGTCCCTTCGTCACCCAACCAGACAGCTGAAGGTGCTTGGTAGTCATGTCCCATGAGCTTCTGCATCTGTTCACAGTACTAGATCAAGATCTTGTCCCTCAGGCTTTGGCCAAGGCCAGTCTCTCTCATTTTGTTCTCTTTTAATTGCACAGAGATGCTTTAGGTCACATCTTTGCATGTGGAGCCACACGCAAGGAACCTAAAACAGGCTGGAACAGGATCAGATCTTAGCAAAAAGATGCTGGCCAGCCACACAAATGGGAGTGTTAGAGCTGGCCTGGCTGTGTCTGGGATTGCAATGTCACAGTTGCCTGGGGTGTAATACAGGCTGATCTGGGAGGCTCTCTGTGCTGTGATCTCAGTGCAGACATGGGGCTGTTTCTCTCTTGATTTGGGGAGGAAGGAGGGGGAGTGGCTGAGCTGCCACCCTTCCTATCTGAGTGGGGATGGATCCATGTTAGCTGGGAGGGGAAATGACGGTGACCGGTGTGGTGTTTTTCAGATTGATGGACTGGAGGAGAAGCTGGCACGTTGCAGACAGAGCATGGAGGAGGTGGATCTTAAACTGCGCAGGGAGAAGCTCAGCCCTGAAGGAAGGTATTGATGACCACCTCCTTTCACAGCTGTGGCTGTGTTCTTCAGCTAGCTGTCGTCCTGCTGTAGTACTGAGCAAGGGCTCCGGAATGGATCGGAATGTGTGGTTCCCCATGACAAGACTCTCTGCCCCCAGCTTGGAGCTTACTTGGGGAACTTGCCAGGGTGAGAAGTTCAGTGATATATGGAAAGAGCTTTATCTTACCAACAGCCTCAGTCTCCAGCCTGTACCACAACCAGCCAAGCAGTGCCCAAAACTTGCAGGTTCATTTGCAGAGCTGGCTCCTGGCCTGCTAGGAAACAGCTCTGTGAGTCTGACAGAGGTTCACTGCACGCTGCTACTCAAGCCGTGCCAAAGCTGCCTGAGTTCAGTCAGGGGAGATGTGCAGCCACTACTGCTGAGGGCCAAACCAGGCTGGGATGCAACTGCAAAAGGAGCTGAGGGAAATTACTCTGTGCCTGTGTTGCAAATGTGTCTGGATGTAGGGATGCAGTGACACGCTGGCTTTCCTTGGGAAAGGGAAGAGGGACAATTCCCCTGAAATCTCTCACTGGGGTAACTGCAGGCTTCTAGAGCTGGGTCTCAAGCAAGGACTTTGACCTGGATTTTGTAGCAGACGCAAACCTGCTGTTTCTCCAAGGGCATGAAGCAAGAGAGCCTAGATCTCCCAGCTGATTCTCAAATCTCTCTGCTTGAGGACATTCTTCCAGTCACCAGCATCCTACTGCTCTGCTCCTAGCAAAAGAAGGCTAGGAAGCTCAATCATAGGCCCAGGGAGCTGGTCCTGTTGGTCCTGGTGTCTGCTCTGCAGTACTGTCCTACAGAACCCAGTTAGAAATGATCCTGGCAGTGGTGACATCTCTACACCCTGATACTTATCAGCTTCAGTTTAACTTCTTTGTTCCTCTTTTCCACTCTCTCTCCCCCCTCCCCTTTACTGGGGTTTTATATCCCCATCCATATTCGGACAGGGTCCTGTCTCCTCCTGTCCCTCATTTCTCTAGCTCCTCATCTCAAGAGTCCTCTTGTAGGCCTGAATTCTTCTTATGTTTACTGTCTGTATTCTTTATCTGGTACTTAGGTAGCCAACAACCAAACCTACAGTTGTGGTAACTTGACAGGATTGAGTACTTCTGTATGATTTCTCTCTGAAATGTAAGGCCTAGAGCAAAGAATAGAAATGGGGATTCCTGGGGCCTTTTCTGAATTGTACAACTTGTATGGAGATGGAAACAGAAATTCTGTTGCCCTAATCCAGACCATTCAAAAAACCCTGGAGGAAGGTACTATGATCAAAGTTATTGATTCCGTGAGTAGTACACAAAGGAGAGCTCAGCTTTCCCATTTTTGGAGTTCAGTTGTCATGGTTTCTTCATGTCTCATTCTCAAAGCCTCTTCCCTTGACTCTCTTCACAAGCCAAATTTCTAAGCAGCAGCTCAGTCATGTTGGTAAATCTGTCTTCTCACTTCCTCCTGGCTGCACTCCACATTGCCTTTCCCCAGTTGCTTTTAAGAGCTCTTTCCTCTCCTGCTGCTCTGACGTAGCTTGCTTCTTGCCATCCCTTACTTAACTAGCTGTACACATAGATTTGGATCTCTTTCCTCCTACAGGTTCTTGCTCTGCCTCGAGGGGAACAACAAACTCTGTTCCACTTACTGCCCTCTCTGTCTGCTCTGCACCAGGAGATCATTTGTTAGCGCATGTTTATTTATATGCACACAGTCTGAAAGAAGTGACCGCGTCCTCGCTGCTGTAATAGAAACGCTGCCGCTTTCAGGCAATTTGTTTTGCATTTATATTTTAAACTGTATATTAATTAATCATCTGTGCAGTTTAAGACAAGGGCTGGGTTGGCCTGACTTACTCTTTATTGTTACTATCCTGAGTCTTCGGTCTAATAACAGGTTGTTTCACTGGTTGTTACTGGGCTTGGATTCAGCTTGTTTCCTTGAGTCAACCAATTTGTGTAAATTGGATACCTCTGACAAAGGGATCCCAGCTTCAATCGGTGAGAAGAAGTGGTGTTCCAGCACTGAGCCAGATGTGCTGGAGGGGCAGGATCCTGCAGAGAGGACATAGGGACCCTGCCCCACCTGGGGGAACAGAGTGGGGGGCTCTCTGACACACAGACCCCTTTCTAGCCTGCTTGCGTACACTGTCATTGTCCTAAAAGGGGAGATACGAAGCAGTTTGGGGGAAGGAAAAAATAATCTAAAACTGATACAGCTCTCCTCTTGCACAGCTGGGGGTTTCTAAACAGTCACCTCTCCACAGTGAAGGGTGAGGGGCTCGTTCTGGGAGCAGCTATCCCTGGCAGTGGGGCAGTCTCTCTTCTGTCATATAAGCAAAGAAATAGGCTGTGTTGTGCCTCGCAGGTAATGAACTCCTCTTCTCATTACAGAAAGTCACTGGAGAGAGAGAGAAACTTACTAATGACCAAAGCTGACAACTATGGTAAGAGCTTCATTAAAAATGGTCCCTCTGGGCTGGATGGGATCAGTGCTGCAGCTTAGCTTCGTCTTCAAGCTCCTGGCACCTCTGACTCCTGCCTTTGAATTTAGGTTCAACCAAAGGGAGCTAGGCTGAGGGAAATCTAGTCAGCATATTATAATAGGAGTCTGGATCCTCCCGCTTGAGCTGTGCTATCATAGGGAAAAAAATAAGCATCTGCTAATGAGGGAGGAAAGATGTCCCTTTCACATACCCCAAATTACCAGTCTACAGATAATCTTAGCCAACAGATTGACTCGAGTGGCCTTTAACATCCACCCCTCCTTTTTTTTTTTCCCTTCCCTTTTTTAATAGAGGCTTGCTAAGCAAAGTGGTAGGTGCTCTCTGGAGTGTAGCAAAGTGTAACTTCCTTGGGGAAGGTTCTCACTGCATCGTTTTCTGGGCCCATTCATCACACAAGCATAGGGACTCGCACCGATGTGCTACCTGCAATCCCAGAGAGCCAGGGTCTTTCCTTGCTGCAGACAGTTAAAATGAGAGTCCCTCTGAACTCCCACACGTTTGACAGCACTTCTGTTCCTCTAGGGACGCTGCATGCGTGTCCTCAGGCTCCTGGGGTTGATCAGTGTATTAACTGCTTGACAGCACTCTGCAGCGACGCAAGCACCAGAGCTCACACAAGGGAAGGAAGCACAAGTGTTCTTTTAGGCCTAGAGAGTTGAAAGCTGGGGTATGGCCAGCAATTTTGTAATTTTAACTCATGTTAAAGGACTGTTTCCAGAAGACTAACAGTTATTTTAAACAGATTCAAAGCTGGTCCCTAAGGGCCTGCCACTAGAGACAGCAGAAGCCTCTGCACATCGCTGCCACCCTTTTACCAGCAGTCAGCCATCACTGCTAGCATCACCAGAGCAAGCTGACAGGCTGCTCAGGCAGCGGCAACAGCCTCACCTAATGGCGATGGCTGCTCCTCCTGGAACAGAACAGACACTGCATGTGTGCACACAGTCTTTTTAGATCACTGCTATGGCCTCTGATTAAATCTCTGCTTATTCCAGCTGACACAGTTGAAGCCGTGAACTGCAGTTGCTGACAATGGCACTGCTCTGTCAGTTTAAGCTGGCACCACTGCGCGTAGGGTTACGTGACCTCCTGCCACCTCCTCTGTAACCTTGCAGATTCGAGCAGTTTGCTCTCTGGTTGCACGAGAATGCTTGTACTACATGAAGAATGGGGGCAGAAAGAACAGCTAAAAACCTTTTTGATACCAGTACCGGTTTGGGAACCTTCCCACTGGAGGTTCCTAGTGCAAACTCTGGAAGCAGTGACCTGTGCAGTCACTGGACATGAATTCAGCAGCAAGAGCAGTCTGGCACTGGAGACAGCCTGCACCCAACCTTGCCCTCCAAAATAATTATTGCTGTTTGGCCATTGCAATGCTGTAGGGCTCACTTCTTGCTGATGCCATCCAGCAAAGTCTTGTAGAACAGAATTAGTGAGAATGGCGTTCTCATCTGTGGTCAAAGGGAATGGAACAGAAACGGAGATCAGTAGGACTTTTGGTAGCCGCTTCCTTCCCCTCTGTGCATCTGTGTTTCTGCTTTTGTAAAGCAGGGCCAGGGAAAGCGACCCATCTCTAAAAAGCTGCAGACCCCAGCAGAATGAGTGTCCAGGCTCAGACCTGATCCACACTCATCCTTCTGGGGCAGAAGGAAACCCAGATTCTGTCACATCCAAAGGTGGTTGCAGTTGTATTTAAGTAAATTAAAGCACTAGGAGAAGGTACCAGGCTGTTAATCAAGAGGACAGCAGAAATAGCTCTCTACCCCATCTTCTTCATTCCCTTAGGGAACAAGCAATTAGTCTAATGACCCATTCTGTCCTTAGTAGAGTCCTAGAACGAGGTCACTGCAACCAGGAACTGGTCTGGCACCCAAGTATTCCCAAGCACCGCTACCGAGGCTGGCAGGATGAGTTAGCAAATGCAAGGGCCCCTGCTGGTTTACTTCCTGTTGGGCTCATCTTGCAGTGGGCAGCTTTGCGTACTGATCCCTAAAGAGTTGCCCCTGGCCAAGGCAGCGTTGTGCTTGTAAGATAGTTCTAGAAGGAGATGTAGCTGCAACAGGAAGAACATTCACAGGCAAGGCTTTTCTTTGTTTCCCAGAGAAAGAACTGAGTGTGCTTCGTAAGGAAAATCGCAAGAATGCTGCCCTGGCTGTGGCCATGGGGTTGCTGATTGTCCTTATTTACGCCTGCTGGACGATGTGATTGCACTCAAGAATTCTCCCTGCTGACCAAATGACTCTCCTGCAAGGAGCTCTTCCTCCTCTCACCACTGTGCCTCCCCCAAGGCTGAGGATCAGCATTTCAAATTGCTGTTCTTGTTTACGCTCTCCAAGCCTCGTTGTAGGGAAGCTTTTTCTCCGAGAATCGAGGGGGACAGGAGACAAAGCGGAAATGACAGCACGCTTGCGGTTGGAAATTGGGTCAAGCAGAGCTCAAGGTGGTGCTGTCTTACCCAAAATGCAGTCAAGACCATGCAGCCTGATGCAGGAAGGCAGCAAGTTCTCCCTTTTGAAGAGGGCCTCTGTGGTTGCAGACAAGCGCGCTCTGCCCAGCCCAGCCAGGATACACGCCACCACCTTGGTTCCTGCGACTCAGCCATAAGCTGAAGGGACACCAAGCGCTTTGAATCAGAGGGTAACTTGGATAGTGCGACCTAAAGCCTCTACCTGTTCCCAGAGCTGAGATAAACAAAGGTGTTTCCTCCTCCACACTGACTTACAGGACCAAAGGAATCCTACCTCCACAGAAACAGATGGGAGGTAGGCATCTGTCTGTCTGCAAGCAGGTAGCATCCAACTTGAGATCTGGGTGCTTGGGCTTTGAGATCTACCTACCTCTCCGGTGCATCAGAGCTTGGTAGCCATTTTGTGCCTCTGAGAACCAACACTTGAGAATTTACTGTCAACTCCCAGGGATGGAAGTGCCTCTGCAGGGCTTTAAATAAAATAATTTGACCTTGTAACTTCCTGTTTTTCTGGTTTTTCCCTGTTTCGTAACACATCTCTCAGCCACTGCTTTATTCTCATCCTACCATCTCCCCGCTGGCACACGTTGCACCACAGTAAGCCTAGGCTGGGTTAGGCACTTAACATCCCTGGTCAGCGAGGTCTGTCGTGGCCTTTAAGAGGGGATTGCCTTGAAAATTTAACTGTGCAAGTTATTTCACTGCTGAATTTTGTGGGAAGCAAAGTAAACAAGCACTGTTGTGAACTAAAGGGGCTGTATTGGTAATAAAGACAATGAAAGCAGAAAACTCAACACAAAATGATACACAGCCTAATAACAAGACATTGTGCAATTAATGTACATAAACATTCCCTTCAGCAAGACCTTCCTCACCCCCTTTCCCAGCATAATCCCTCCCTATTTACCCTGCAGCAGGGAAGCAGATAGCATGGTGGCTCATGCTTGCCTTCTTGAAGGGGGATTCAGAATCAAGGTTCAGTGCATCAAAAATAAAAATAAAAGCAAATTAAAATCAGGAGCTGGAGGCAACTGGGTAAACAGCAAGTATCTGTTCATAAAAGCTAGCCTGCACGCTAACTAAGGTTTTTTTGCACTCTCAGAGGCCTACACTTGCCCTAGTGTACTTCCAGTCACCCTTCTGTCTGCCAGCCCGCAGGAGACCAAAGCCCTGAGTGGAGGACACACCACTCAGCAAAGGAGCCTGCCAAAGGGAGCAGCGTGCTTCGCCGGCACTGGAACGGCCTCAAGGCAGTCCAACAATGCGCCAGAACTCAAATTACTGGTTGGTTTAAAAAGCCACCTGCACACAGGCCTGGAAACCACACACTTGGGAGGTTCTTTTATTGCCCACTGGGAGAGATTCCTCGTGGAAGTGGCTTTGCCAAAACAAAACTGCCAGTTGACAGGCCTCTTGTTTTTTGGGGGGGTGAGGGCCACCATTTCTTTCATACATGTTTTACTGACACTAGAGAGTAGGGAGGGGTCCACAGGTCAGCAAGAGGATGCATTAACAGCATGCAGTCCCTCAGCTGCTTTGGTAGACCTCGCTGTGTCTGGGGACTAATAATCACTAATGCGTGGAAAAACACCAGCTTTGACCCTACAGCTTGAGAAGAAACAGAATAGCTCCCCTGCACAATGTTCGGGGCTACCTGTTTGTAAGCTGTAACCTCCCCTCCGCTCCCAAGCTTTGCCTCCTCCAGTTTCCATTGACCAACAGACCCTGCCAACTTCTGTGCTGCTCCTTTCGCCAGGGGCGCGGGCCTGCAGCGATCAAGCCTGCGTATCGCTTCCTCTGGTGCAAGGAGTTGCAGCTGTTAAGTTCATTTATACCAAACCGTAGAGAATTAATACGTGGTTATGTGGGGACAATTTGCTTGTGAGGACACGGAAGTGCTCCAAGCTCAGAGAGCACAGCCTACTCGTAGGACGACATTCAACTACGTGCTGAGAACGAGCACAAAACCTACGCGTGATGCTGGGCCTTCAAGGGTGGAGGTGGGACTTCTGTAAGTGGGTGCAGGGCACCCATGCACCTGTACACCTACAAGTGACAATTTCCATATCTTGCTACGTAAAGCTTGTTCCAGTCCTAGGTATGGGTGTGGAGAGAAAGAAACAAGAATCTAAACAACTGCTATAGATTGTAGGAGACCTATAGCTTTCTTTAAGGCACAGTTCAGACAACCCCTAAATCAGTTTCCTCCCTACTGCCAATCTGTGTTTAAAAACAAGCCAAGAACAAACAAAAAATAGAGCAATTTTGCTGCTTGGCCCAAAGCAGTCAACTGTGTGTTATCTTCTGATTTATGTGGAAGACCTGGCAAAAGTGCCATGGAAGCCAGAAGTGAAGGTCAAAACATGCAACAGAAGACAACTTTGAGCCCAGCACAGAAACGCACGGAGAAGTTTGTTAACACTCAAATACCATGCTGAGAGTTTCTCAGCTCTGTGCCTTCACCCCAGATACAGTTCCAGGGCCAAAGGAGACACGGAGGGTTTCAAAGCCCACTCCGACATTTAAAAAGGCAAGGCTGTAACCCTTCCAGTGGGCACAGTCAGGGGATGGGATTTCTTCTGATGCACCGAAGTCAAGATCTCTTTTCACTGAAGCCCTGGGTTTGGTGGGGGGGTTTTTTTGTTGTTGGTTTTTTTTGGTTTTGTTTTTGTTTTTTTTTTTTTTTTAACTAAGATATTCCCAGCATTTCCTCCAAAGACCTCCAGCATCCCAACCTTCCTGTGTCTTCCCTCCCACATCCGTTTTCCTCCCTGAAGATTTGGGTAATAGCATCGAGTACCAAGAATCAAAGCACCTTGGTCTCAGAAGTACCATGAGGCATAGACACGTCCACAAATTAACCCTCAGCTGCTGGCTCAGGATCAGTCGCTGACCTGGAAAGGGGACATCCTTGTCACAGCAGCTTCTAGAGGTCTGAGAAATCCCCAGCACTGAGCACATCAGATCTGAGCCAGGAACTCTGTTCATCACCTGTGTTGGCCTTTGTCCAACAGGGTACCATCACATCGGAATTTGCCAGTGGCCAGCCAAGTGCCTTGATAAGCAGAAGTTTTGGAGACACCAACAACACATACTTGCATCCCAAAGCTAGCATTCCCCAATGAGTTAACACCCTCCACTGGGTAGTGTAGGCCTTCGACAAGGCCGAGGAGATCGGTAACTGCCGGGAACGACGTGGGGCTGCTTCAGCGTGCTGTTGCCCAGCTCTGCCACCAAGACATCTCTGCTCCTTCCCACGTTGCCAGGGAAGCACAAGCCTGGAGAGTTCTGGCACACACTGAGCTCCACAAACCTCGCTGAATGTTTGAACAGGAGGAAAAGCTGCCAGCCCCTTGGCCTCATGCATGCAGTAGGTCAGGACAAAAGGGCGTTAGGCCTTGGCTGCAGGAGTCACCGCGGGTACTCCGGCAGCAGGCGCTACCTGGGCCGTACTCTTATATACACTGCCAGGGCAGAGCCTTGTCCTGTGCCTTCTGCATACCACCCCCTGGCTCAATCGCCTCCAGGAAATCAGCTCTGGAGAAGACCAGGATAGAAGTTGTGGAGCCTCCCCAGTCTCGTTAGTCTCTGAAGAATCCAAGCTGGGCTCAGCCCCCCCTGCCACCCCTCAAGAGAGCAGGGTTAGGGGTAGTGCGCTTGGATGAAAGACAGCACATCCTCCTTTGATAGCTTCTCTGGATCTTGCCTTTTCTGAGAGTCGTGCACTTTGACACCTTCCCCCCACTCCCAGAAGAGGCGGCTGTAATGGCAGATGCTGTGGGCAGAGAGGAGAGCAAGATTAGTTTATAGAATCATAGAATCATAGAATGTTTAGGGTTGGAAGGGACCACTAGTGGTCATCTAGTCCAACCCCCCTGCAGTGAGCAGGGACACTGCTAACTAGATCAGGTTGCTCAGAGCCCCATCCAACCTGGCCTTGAATGTTTCCAGGGATGGGGCCTCCACTACCTCTCTGGGCAACCTGTTCCAGTGTTTTACCACCCTCATTGTAAAAAATTTCTTCCTTACCTCTAGCCTGAACCTACCCTGTTCTAGTTTAAAACCATTTCCCCTTGTCCTAACACAGCTGGCCCTACTAAAAAGACGTTCCCCATCTTTCCTATAGGCCCCCTTTAGGTACTGGAAGGCCGCAATCAGGTCTCCCCGTAGCCTCCTTTTCTCCAGACTGAACAAGCCCAACTCTCTCAGCCTGTCCTCATAGGAGAGGTGCTCCAGCCCTCGGATCATTTTTGTAGCCCTCCTCTGGACCCGTTCCAACAGTTCCATGTCCTTCTTGTGCTGAGGGCTCCAGAGCTGGACGCAGTACTCCAGGTGAGGTCTCACCAGAGCTGAGTAGAGGGGCAGAATCACCTCCCTCGACCTGCTGGCCA